TCTTAATCATTCTGCTCATGTGACCCTGAGAAGGGAGAGGAAAGTTGTAGCAGAGAAGAGGAAGTGGAAGGTGATTCTCAGGGGGAGGATGGAATGAAAGGCAGTCAAGCTCTTGAAAAAATGTGATTTTGTTGGTAGGGCTGACTGGCACACAGACCTGGCACAGTTGGATCCTCTTGGCTCACCTGTGAAATTCCTTGTTCAATAGGGAGAGAAGAGATTACAAGGAGAGCTTTTTCATGTACAGCTGTGCTGCGAAAAGCATAGTGTGTAGCAAGTTATTTCCTTTTTTTTGCATAGCAGTTCTTAAACATTTAGAGTTTATTCAGAGGTGGATCAGACATGTTTGGAAAAGACTTAATTTCCATTTTGGGATTATTGATTTCAAATTTTTCTGGTTCTCTGTCCTTATTTTAAATAGAGCTCCACCACCTTCTCTGAGGTTAATCAAGGCTAGCTAGCACTTAGTGCAAAGGAGTCCTCCCTAATATTAAGCTCAATTTTTTATCTCCTTCCTGTCATCCTGTGTATCATGGTTGCATTTTAGTGTTCTACCCTCGGTACTGTCCCAAGTGTATATGTACTTGCATGCTGGGGAGACTAATAACCACTATATGAAGTACAGATTTCAGGGCTCTGTACCTTCCTGAGCTTGTCTGCTGTGCTTGAGTTGGTCTGTAGGATGGCTCAGAGCCACAGTTCATTGATTTAAATTGGAAAAAAAGAGCCAAGTTTCATCTGCTGTGGCTCTGGCTGTCTTCTGAGCTGCAGTAGTGGTCACTTCTGAGCTGCTGGCACATGTTACTGTAACTTGCATCTGCAGATGAATATGAGCATTTCTGTGCATGTCCTTATTTTGCCCTTCTTTTTTTGAACTACATTCTCACTTAAAGTGTTGAGTGTTTATCTTTATTTTTTAGAACTGATGAATGTCCTATCATTTTCCTTTATCATTGTAAGATGCTGAAAGCCAGGCTGACTTATGAGCCTGTCTTTCGCATTCAAAGTATGCCAGTGTTGTCAGGCCAAAATATGTTGTTATAGTCACAATGGGAAAATAACTTCTAAGCACAGCTTTGTTCCTGTTCTTCTTGTATCTTGGCAGGCTAAAGTGAGGTCGAACATTTCCAGTGTTACATGTAAGATCTAATCAAGGCAAACTCTTCTAAAGGAGGATAAGGCAATACAAATACTTCCCCCCCCCCCCCCTTAATTATGGCTAGGAAACTTTTTAAGTAGAAGAAGTCTTGGTGAAGGGAGTATTTAAAAGAAAGGTTGTGGATGTGGATGTGACTTGGCATCTGCTGCAGTTCACCCATATTGGGTGATAAATGTTTTCTCGAGGCAGAATGACATCCATGTTGCAAAGTAAAAGAGAGAGATGAAGATTGTGTCTATCCTTTGTACTTCTTGGCTTTATCTTCCCGCTTATCTTGGGCTGTAGCTCTAGTAATCTTTTTCCTCTCCACCCTTAACTTGATGTAGTGAAACTTGCTTAACCTGCCAAAGGAACAACCTGCTGGCTGTAATGCAGGCAGGTTGCGAATTTCTTTGAGAACTCTGGAACCTGCTGCTTTGGTTTCAGATTTTTCTTTTTTTCCCTAATGATCACATGCAGAGAACTATCACAGTGGCTGTGATGTTTGACCTATACAGTAAAAGTCAAAGGTGCAGTCAGGGTGTCTTCCTGTTTATAGCTTGATAGCTCAGGCTGCTTCCTTTCAAATATGCAAAACTAAAACATGAAGGGATTACCACATTCCTTGCTGTGGGTACAGATTCTGCTCTGGCTTTCAGGGCATGGCAAAAGCGCACACGTTGCAGGAAGGAGAACTGCAAGCTGGGGGGAGCCAGTGAGGGACACCAGACGTAGCAAAGCCCCATTACTGTGGTGCTGCACCCTTTAGCGAGCCCTGCCTTACTGGCATACTTTATATTGCAAACACAGCTGAACTGTTTTTGGGACTTGCAGGAGCCAGTGTGTTTGCGTGCATTAGGTCATGCCAGGCAGAGGTGCCAGATTGGACTGGCACTAACCTGGAGATCTCAAGAGTTTTTCCTGTTGGTATGCTGTGGATGTGCCATCAGGCCCCTCTCAAGTAGCAGTTCCATCAAAATAAGCAGAGTTCAACAGGTGGACAAACAGCAGGAGGAAAGAACGTAGCCCTAAGGAAGGGCTGTTTTACATGGGTAGCTGCTAAACAGGAGTTGTGCATACTTGTTAATGGCTGAAAAGAGACTTTAAAAGAAAATAGGAAGAAAAAATCCCACGCTTAATGCATAGCAGGTTTTTTGTTGTTTGTTTGTTTACTGGATGAATGTAATTTAGCTTGACCGATTTGGCTCTCTAGCTATCTGAAAAGTAACCGGCCGAGTAGTATTAGCTGTGCATCAGTCAAGGTGCCAGAGGGTTAAGCAATCAGACCATGTGGGTGTGTCTGGGGTGGGGGGACAGAGAGGCACATGCAAAAGCCTTTGTCTCGCTTTCAAGAGATCACTGAAACTGGAAAGCAGTCTTTACCAGAAAGAAATAATAAAAACACAGACCAACGAACCATCTTCCAGATTCAGCTTTGCCTGTGTAATTGAATGCTATGTTTTCATGTTCCTAGGTGCTTTTCAAGTTATATCTTCAGTAATTGTGGACAGAAACCCTTTGAACAAATAACTGGTTTCTTCTCCCTTATTTTTGTGTGAATACAGAAAACTGCTGCTCGTGCTGTTATCACCCATAAGAGAAGCTCTAGATAGTATGAGAAGTTAGATCAGTGCCACCGGGGAAAAACAAACAACCAAAAAAAAAAATTAGGTAGTACAGTACCTATAGATGCCTTCCCTGCAGATTTTGTGAGATCCGGTAGCACTGGATTCATGTGGATTAATCAGTTGCTTTGTGCTTGTGGTGCCAGGGCTACCAGAGGGCTGAGGCAGGGGAGTGCACAGCACTCTGGAGGCTGTGTCAGCACTCCAGCTTCTCTCTGGGTTCTGTCAAACCTGGAGAGAGCAAAACTCTCAGAACTTCATCCTTCCTTCTGCTCCCAGTTGGACAATCAGCAGGGAAAGAGGTCAGACAAATTCAGCAGCATTTCCATGATTCTGTGTCCAGTCTGCTGGGCATATCTGCACATAAATGTGACTGAGAGGTGTCACCAGTGTCTGTCCACCGTTTGTATGACCAGTGCAGGTTGCTGGGGATCTGGAGAAACCACGTTTTTTTTTTCCTCATGTGTTTGACGGGTGCTGAAAGAAGGCGGTAGCTGAACAGCCATTTTAGTCTTGCATCGGTTCTGGTATGTGTGGTGCTTTTCCTTGAGGCTGTTCCCTCATAACACCCTCAGAAGCCTGGCTGTAGTTTGAGACAGTAGTTTAGATGCCTTCTTTGTTTTTTTTAAAAGGTTCAGAGGTTGTGAAAGGAAACATTAAAAAAAGCATTTTGTGATGAGACAGTCTTCCGAGCAGCTCCAGTGGAGTCTGCTTGTGGGTCATAGAATCATAGAATCATCTGGGTTGGAAGGGACCTCTGAGATCATCAAGTCCTACCCTTGATCCACTACCACCATGGTTACTAGACCATGGCACTAAGTGCCACATCCAGTCTCATCTTAAGAACCTCCAGGGACGGAGAATCCACCAGTTCCCTGGGCAGCCCATTCCAATGCCTGATTACCCTCTCTGTAGAATTTCTTCCTAATATCTCCCTTAGCAGAGCTTAAGACCATACCCTCTTGTCCTCAGGTCAGTTTGGTCCTGAGTGTTATCTTGAAGTATCATGCCCTTGGCATCCAAAACTAAAACGGATTTAATGTCATAACACCCAGGCAGTTATGAGGACATGCAAGACTCGTCTAGGTTACAACATTCTCTCGTGTTGGAACATGATAGTGCGCAGTTGTGGATGTGACTTTTCTGAAAGATGTGCCCAAATGCCATTAACATTGTCTCCCTTCTGTTTTTTTGAAGTCATTCATACGGACAAATGGCCAACTCTGTCCTGCACTCCAATATCTAGCTATTAGAAGCAAAAATTTCCGTTGTATCTAGGAGCAGAAGTTTGATTTTTTTTTTTCCAAGTCGAAGTGAGGCTAAAGGCCCTATATTTAAAAAAATGTACAATTTGAGCTTTGAGTTCTCAGAAAAAGAAGCATGGAAGTAATACCTTTCATCTAACTGAAGGGAACTAGATGGCAGTATCTTCCTCAGGTTGCAAATATGGAAAACCAATAGGCAATTGGGTCAGGTACACAGATATTAATGAGATTGCTTCTTGAGTCATTTTGCCCCTCTCCTTTTCTCCATGTCTTTGTGACAAGAAATAGTTGTTTTCCTGGGAAAGCAGGTTTGTGAACATGCCTTGGAAGTATGGAGTTTCACAAGTTATACCTGTTGCTGTTTACCACTGTGACCAGATATATCTTGACTTGAAAGCTGCAGTTGAAATTCAATATTGGGGTGCACTATTGTGTTAAGGATGAGAAGGAAACAAATATATCTAAGTGTTGCTCTGACACTGGAATGTGCAGATCCATTTGAGGTACTGTCTCAAACTCTAAAAGGATAGCCACTGAAGATGGGGTGCTTTTGTTGCACTGAGAGAAGTGAATGCTAAGCTGCAGGCTTTCGCTTACTAGATGGCCACAAGACTGGGAGGCTGGATGTGTAGATTGCTGTGCAGTATTAGGCGGGATTGGGGCTTCTTGGATGATGGGGAACAGGTACAGTGCTCATGGAGTTAGATGGTAGCAGGGCAAGTGCTGTGCTGTGGGTTGGGACATGGAGGAGAGCTTCTGGTCTCCCTGCTGCAGCTCCATGCAGTCCCAGGCACTGCAAAGGGCCTGGGCTGGATCATACCCCAGTTGTTTTTCTAAAGTTCAATCTGGTTTACGGAATCTCTGATGATATCCTTTAAAGGAAACCTTAGAAATGGTGTTGGCATTAAAATTTACGTGGCCTTTCTGCCCTGATTTGCCTGCTGACAGTGTCTTCTTCCCCCTCCTGCTCAGGCACATGAAGATTCACGAGAAGGATCCGAACAGCACGGCGAGCACAACTCCCCCCTCACCGCTGAGGCGCAGGCGATTACCTTCAAAACGGAAGTTTAGTCACGATGCTGATTTGGACAGAGAGGAGAGAACACCTGCAAAAAAGGTTCTTTATGGGGCATGAAGTAAAAGATGTTTCTGGCTACCTCCTCGACTGTCTGCTGTTGAGTTCGTGCAGTCAGCATAGAAATATTAAAATGTAGTCGTGTTACAGCCCTGAATATGAGTTGCCATGCTTGTCCTGTGTAGCCAACACGGTTGTCTGAGATTGAAATAATTCAATTTTTCAAATTCTTTATTGTTTAAATTTTTGGATTTGCTTATGATTTACAAAAAATTGATGTTGGATGACAAGAGGATGAACTATTCTTTTGCTGCTGCAGCTTTTCCCGTAGCTTTTTTTTTCTTCACATTTAATTCTTAGTAATCTTGCAGGATGGTGATTTAAACTTTTTAAAAAATACTGTTTACTTCAAAAGCAGCGACAGTGCAAGTCTGGTTTTGTCTTGATCTGGAGGAAAAAAAATCTGCAGTGCATTTCCCTTTCACAGTAGCATAATCCTGCATTATTGGAGTTGCAAGAACGACCAGAAAATATTTATTTGAAGGCTAGACATTTCCACTAGGGTTTTGTTTATGAAATACTTGTACAACATGTATGGTGTCTGCCAAACTTGACTCTTTCCACTTACTATCTCTAAATGGCAAGCTAGAAGCAGTTCGTTTTAGCACAGTATCCCTCGTTCTGTGCATGCTTTTCTCCCTGTAATCAGTACTGAACTACGGAAAACATGCACAAGTCCATTGCTTTTCGCTGAACCACTTGACTTAGCAGTTGGAAGTATCTCAGTGGCATAAATAATTTAGGCTGACAGCTCCCTTGGCTTTCTGAAGGGGGAGGAATGCTAGTTCAGTGGTATTTAAACATAGGGGCTTATAAGTTGTTCAAATCAGTTTCTCATCAGAACCGATATATCTGTGACTCAGTTGCACACTTTATCTCCTACTGAGTGTCCTTTTCTGTCCTGCATGTTCTTACACATGTGCAGAGGCTCTGTCACTTCCCCTCTCTGCTGTGGAATGTAATTTCTGGTTGCTTGCAGCAAGGTTAGGACCGAAGACTGCTACTTTGTTTCTAAAGAAAGACTTTGAATGGATTGCAAGTTTGGTTTGTTCCTTAAAATTTGGTCTAGTGAGGTTTTTTTCCCTTTTTCTGAAGGTTGTCGAGGATGGTCACTCTGGTGAAGGGGATAAGAAGGCTGACGATGAAGTTTATCATTGTCCAGTGTGTTTCAAAGACTTTTTTTGCAAGTACGGGCTGGAGTCCCACATGGAAACACATCCAGATAATTCATTGAGGTAAGAAATAATACCAAGAGTGTCTCTCATCATCAGATGGCCTGAGGGAGCCTTCTGGGGAGGGGAAGGAGCCCTTCATCCCCCTGCACTGTTAACTGCCCCTCTTTGTGATTTTGAACAGGTTTTTAAATGTTTTGCCTCATCTTGTGTCACCAGGGTGCTGTAGAGTTTAATTCTATTATATTTTGCATATTCAGGAAATCTTGCTAGTTAATAGCTGGAAATATTTCAGAAAAAATTATAGCCCCCTTCCTCCCCTTGAAACCTATCACTGTTGTTACATAAAACTGTAAAATGCCAACAGTCTAAAATTTTAACAAGTTAGCAAGTTAAACTGAAGATGCCTAAAACATGGAAAAAAACCTGATAAAAGTATTCAGGTATTAACTTACAAAATTATTCTGTTTGGGGAGAAAAAGGCAGCTGGATACGAAGGGGGTTTTTTTGAGTCATGGGAATGAAGATAGGTGAGTTTCCGGTTCCAGACTTTCAATAAAATATTTCATACTTTTCTGCCTGTTGAGGTTAGGGAATGATGTGGATTTTGGCTTAAATCAACTTTGCTTAACAAGGAAAAATTAGTTATTAATTGTTTGGGAAGGTGCTTGGATGTTGTATTTTGGTTCATGTAATTGCCCCTGAGACTCCTGATACTTTTTTATTTCCTGCTTTTTAGCGTAGAGAAATGTAGAGCCAGATACATGAAGATAAAAAAGAGATATTTAAAGGCTAGTTTAAACATGTAGAAAAGCTGCTATTTTAGAAAAGGAGATTGTTTGCTGAAGCTTATCAGTGTTTCAAGCTTATTTTGGGACATTGGACTCCAATTCAGCATCTTGAAGTATCAACACTTACTCCTGAATACAGGTTCTTAATAGAATGGCATGGAGCAGAGGCATCTCATTCTATTAAATGGGATTAATTCTATTAAATTTTCCTTTTATTTTTTTTTTTTTTTTTAGAAAACCATGATAAGTCCATGTGACATATTTTCAAAGGCATTGTAAGTGTTGCAATTCAGTAATTGGAAAGGAGTTGAAAAGTTTGGTCCGTTAAATGTTGGTTAATTAAATATACTTTGCTGCTTCTGAGGTAAATGAAGTAAATTCTCATTATAGATCAAAACTGAAACAGTTCTGTTCTCTGGCAAAAGCTCTGCAAGCCACACAAAATGGAGTCTGAGACAATTTTGCCTTACACTTCATGCTCTAGAGAAAAGTGACTGTCATATTAGCTTTATCCTGGTATTACCCTTATTTTGAAACTTCTGTGAAGATATGTCTTCTTCGCAAAGATGGACCAGAGGAAGAGGTGGATTGTCTTGCTTTGAATGATGGATAAAAGATAAGGGAATAGATACCATTCTAGCTTGGCAGCTTTGCTGTCTGCTGCAGAAAGGCAGGGGGACACACTGGCTGTGCAAACGTGCTGTTCCTCTTCGTGCAACTCTTTCTCTAGTATTAGGAGACTTGCTTTTGGATAATATTCACCTGATATGGATTTTGCTACCCTTGATTGTGTTGATCGACAAAGATTAGAATGTGTCCCTAAATCAAGAGCCACAGTTGTTGAGCTCTGTGGGCATGATTTAAGGGTTGTGCTGGGATGCTGGTTTTTATGAAATTGTCTAGATGCTGGTAAGGGGGGATTGTCAAGTATTTACTTCAGCAGTTTAAGACAAGTCAGTGGAGATAGGTCAAGAAAGCTGTGGTTCTCCCTGGTCAGCTACAATATTCAAGTGCAACTTACCCTGCTCATCTGGTTTAAAACACACCTTTTGTCCTAGTCTAGACAAGTCAAATGACACTGTCTGCTTGGCCCAACCTAACAGAAAATCCTCTTGTAAGCAGAGCAGTTTGAGTTGCTCTTAAGGTGACTCTTTCATCCCAAAGGAAATGGGTTAAAATCCTTGGCAGACAGGGGCTGTAATCCCCTGGCTCCCAGTGTTGTGCAAGACTGGCTGTAGGATTCAACGAGATAAGCAGAATGTGGCATGTGGCATGCCGTTCTCAGTCCAGAGTTCATGTGATAGAAATCTTTTTGTTGAGGCTTAAGGGTGCTTTTTTGAGTGAAAGAGATGAAGAAAAGAGAATATTTTGCTAGAGTATCAAGAGCAAGAGGCATATGTATACGGGTATGCCCGTGGTGGGGGAGCAGACTGCAAAATGTTAGAAGGAGTTCATCAAGTCCTGTTGTTGCCTTATTGTAGAAGATAAGGGAAAAGAACTCTCATTAAAGTTCAAACGAACAAAAAAGCATAATAACTGTGTTATGAGCAAAGGGCAGGAAGCATAACACCCTCAGTCTCTTTTTATTGCCCATATTGTAAAAGTAGAGTCACTTGATCGGGACCTGTGAAGCAGGTATCAGATGTGTATCCCAGAGCCAGATGCTCTGGGGGCTGGTGGTTGGTTTGGAGCTACTGCAATAGGTAGCCCAGTACAGACTGTTTTGTCATGACCAAAAATAAGTGATGCTCAATTTGCCTAGCCGTGCCTCTCATTAGAAGGGCACAGGGCAAACATTCGATTCCTCTTTGCTCCCCCTAGTAGTTACTATGAAAATGAGTGCAGACCGGCTCTGAAGCAGTGCAAGTGTGCACTGCCTAGATGGTGGTACCAGCCTCCCTTCAGGGATGCTTCCTCAGCAGCGGCCAAGTGCCCCGGTGGGCAGGAGCTTCTGCCTGGCTTCCTTGTGGTCCTTTAATCCTGCCATTATAGTGCTGTTGTGTAAATAGAGCCTCTTGCCCCCAGAGCTGTCTGAGTCTGTCTGTCCCGGCCCCCCTCCTGCTATGCAGCAGAAAAGGTACGGCTGTCTGGTAGCCCCGGGATCAGTATGTGAGCAGCTAATTTACGGGGTGGGCCAATACCCTTCCAGATACTGTCAAATGAACAACTTTAAATCACAGGGTTAGCTGTTCAAAGTCAGTTGAAAAGACACTCCGCATTGTCTTCCCTGGTACCGCTTTTTCATGTAAAACCTCGAGCAGGGAGCACCTCATTGTTTACTTGAAGCAGAATAAACAATACTTAATCCACTGATTGTGTGAGAGGGGCTCCCGCTTGGGAGAGTATCTCTTGATTATGTAAAATCCTAAATCGTGCATCTTTGTCTCCTAATTACTGTAAGAACTGCCCTGCTCTTGGGAGCAATAATAGGACCCTTTGTCCCACTGACAATGGGCTGTGGCACTGCATCTCCTTCATGGCATTACACCCCCTGGTCACTCTCTGTCCCTTTGAAGCTCTGGGACCTGCACCCTAATTAGTGACATGAGCTGGCCCCAGCAAGATTGTCTGCAGTCCCCGTTAGCAGTAGGAGGTGGCCCGGGGGTACTTTCTGACCTCCTTGGCCTCTCTACCTTGGATTGTTTAAAGAAGAGGTCTATTTCCCTGCAGCTGGGGCCTCAGGACGTCTTCTATTTTGGTGAGTTTGTATCTGAGTGTTGATATAATAGCAGAGCGCTGAAACGCTGTGCAGCCAATAGTGAAAATGAGAAACCTCGCGGAGCAGGATAACTTCCCTGGAAGCTTTTGTGGCTGTCAAACGTGGTGATGTGCTTGTACAGGTCACCTGACAGGCAGCTCTGAGCACATCAGCAGTGCAAGCAAAGGAGACGTGAGGGTTTCCTGGGGAGAAACCTCTCCAGGTGCTATGTTAGGTTTCTCCTCTTTCCTTTGGCAAGTACAACGGAACAGGCTTAAAGTAAAACCTGTGGCTTTTTTAAAAAGAGTACGTACACTATAAAATTCCTCAGTTGGGTTTTGGTGTAACCAGAGCATACCCTTTATATTTCCTCTCCTTCTCCTCCCGGAGGTTTTGTACAGTTTTTTTAATTTTTACTTCCTCACAGCAGCGAGGAGACATTTATGCTGCCTCTCACGCCTGTGTATCTTCCCTGAGGAGAGCAGGGGGGAGATGTTGATAGTGTTGCAGTTACCTCCTTTCTTAGAAAGGATGTTCATGTTTAAACTTCAGTTCTTAGTAAGGATAGTTGTGCAGTTTGAGTATGGTAAAAGTCTGGCTCTTAATGAACATTATGGGGACTTTCTGATCGCAGTTGGTTCAGTGTGACTTTGCCTTCAGTTACAGGATTTCTTTTTGCTACATTTATATAGGTGATGAGAAATAGACATTGCAGTGTGAAAGACACTGCCTGCCTAAGTCACTGAGCTGATCTGGTGACCAGAACCAGTGGATCCCTGTTGCCGTGAATGGATTCAGGGTAGATTAAGTTTTTTGACCTTTTACAAAGCCTATCCAAACAGTGATATAATATATTAAGGTTTATAACTTGCCAAATCCCAGGCATATTTTCACAAGGACAGTGAAAGTAGCTGTCTTCCACCAGGGTAATGTGCTCCTGTAAAACCTCCGAACAAAGAAAACCAAAAGCCATCCACAGCCCACCTTGTTCTTCTAAAAAGCCTACCTAAGTTTCGTGAAAATTATTAAGTCAAATTGTCTAGGGGTTGAACACTGCCATGGAAAGTTATTGCTTTGAACAGCTAGATCAGTAATGGGCACAGCAACAGAAGAGCTCAGGCCCTGGAAGAGAAAGTGTCGGGACACTCTGACCATTGGTACCTGCGGTTGTCTGCCTCTAGTTTTACCAGAATAACTGCTGTGAGCTCTTGTTTCTGAAAACACTCACAGGTGGAAAATGCCGTCATTGTGTCTTGGTGTTACCTGGCTTCACCTAGATGGAGTGGACAACTTAAATGCCCTAGGAATGGTCTGCTGGACTCTCTGGGAAAATCGTTTCACAAGATGTCACATGCAGCTTGCAGTTTAGTTGGGCTGGTCACCCAATTTCCCTCTTTGCCAGCACATCTGCATTCTTTAATGTATGGTGGCAGGTGGTGGGATGCTGCCAGCCACCTGGACCTAGGTTCCAATCTTAAATCATTTTAGCCAATGCACATGAGCAGGCCCATTTATGTCAAGACAAAAGGAAGTGGGTTTTGAGTGAAAATTATTCCAGCTACTTAGAATGTTTA